CTGCCGTCCCCTTCTCCTTCTGCCTTCCATCTTTCCCAGCATCAGGGTCTTCTCCAAAGAGTCCTCTCTTCTCATTAGGTGGCCAGAGTATCTGAGCTTGAGCTTCAGGATCAATCCTTCCAGTCAGCAGTCAGGGTTGATTTCCTTTAGGATTGACTGGTTTGATGACTGTTAGACAAACATGCAGGCAGGGATCACGCTCTTGTTTATTCTTTGTGCAATCCCTAAAAAACTCACTTCGTATTGGTTGATTGATGGAAGAAGGGAATTTTCAGCATGACGTCCCAGGATAACTTGAAGGGAATAACAACAACAACAAGAAAAACAATATCAGCAATAAAACAATGTAATAAACAGGAATGGCTAATTAACCAATAAAACCAAACCATAAATCAGCAGTGAGAGTAATGATGTAGGGTGTTGAAAATGCCTGGACAGATAAGAGATTTTTGCCTGGTGCCAAAAGAGATACCAGAACGGGTACCTTCTCAATAAACATTAATAATACTGATAATATTGGGTTGGTAGTATGGGAGGGCTAGAATTCTAGTGAGCAGGGATGCGTTAGCCATTGCTGGTCAAGGTCGGACAGAAATGATAGCTTGGGCAGATACATGCAAGCAAATTAACTTGTTCTGATACCAAAGGTATTAATGAGACCAGAGTCACTTGGACTGAGATGGGCAGCTATAGAAATTGCATAAATAAATAAAATAGAGCTATTAATGAGATACTGTGGAGAGCTCTGTTTGGATCCTTCGCATCTCCTGCCTGGAGAAGGTTCCAGAGATGGAGCGATGCTCTGTGCAGGGATGCAAACCTTTCCGACGAGTGAGCTCCAGTGAGTCACACCACTGCCACATTAAAGCAAATCACTTATTAGGATGAAGGGGTGTGCATTTCTGGATGTATATATTATTGCACCAAAGGAGTTCACAATTTCTTAATTGTACCTTATATTGCAACTTCAAATGTTAGGCTGTCTTCCGGTCCCACTCTTCAATCAGAAAAAAAGGACCAAACAGCCACTCACATCAAACCCGCTTCAAAATGAGCCAACTGGTAACAATTCAGCTGATAATTTCAATTTCTCTGCCATGCTAGCAGGTGAGTGGTAGACCACACATTTTAGGAAATGCATTTTCATAGCAAAGAAATATTTTTCTAGCCTAGGGTTGAAATTTCTGGGCATAGCAAAAAACTCCTTTATCCTTATGAATTACATAGAAGATTGGCATTTAAATGATAGCTCTTGTAACCGCCTTTTTTTTTTTAATGGTTAAGATTCCAGGTCCATGTGTTACAGGAAGGAATATTCTTTAATGTGCTTTTGTATTAATGCAAAAAGAGATATTTATCATCTTCTCTATACCTGAAAAGCTGTCTATGCACATTTCTGCCAGAATTAATTATTGGAATAATAATTAGTCGTATTCTTGTTGATATGAAGGGAACGGGAAAAGTGAAAAGCTTCCAGCTTGCATTTGCCTTGTGCCTCTACAAAGGCATATTTGAAAAATGAAAATGTATAATAGGACAACCATAAATATGACTGCTTACCCAGCTTTTTCAAACAGTACATTCACTCATACCACATCCATGCCTTGTATAAAAATAGGAACTCAGAGATTATACTGGTAACATTTTATAAAACTGATTATTAAGAGTGTTGGGTCTATCATGAGCTATTAGCCATGTTTACAGGCAGTTTTTTTTTCCAATTTCCAGAAGCTGGGGGTAAGCAATATGAAATGATCGGCATTGTATTATTGTTGTGATATAGAACTGAACTGAATGGCCAGCACTGGAGAGTACTGAATTATCTAGATCTTTAAATTTGATCCAGTGAAACATTTCAGTATGGTGTCCTGTCGTATCCAACTCCATAGGCAGCCTTTAAAAGTTAGACCATCCTTCCCAGATGCCCTCCAGATGGCTTATCTCTTTGGGCTGGGAATTCTCACAGTCAGAGTCCCACCTCCACTGGATCTCATCAGATTGGAGACGGCTGTATTAAAGGAGGCACTTATGAATAAATCTGCCAAAACATGGATGGCAGATAAGCCTTTCTTGGGATAGAATCACAAATCAGAGGCACCACCAGGGAAAAGGTCCATTAGTACCCAATTTTTATGTTGGCTGAGGAATTCTGGGAGTTGAAGTCCACTCATCTTAAAGTTGATGAGGTTGAGAAACACTGGCTTAAAGGTTAGGGGATTAGGAATTCTGGAATGGAGCATTCTAAAATGAGAGCAAATAGCCCCAGTGAGGAAGTTAACAATATACATATAACACAGTTCACATTTTCTTTCTTAATATCACAAATTGATGTTACCAAGATCAGGAACTTGATTCAAATCAATCATTCCGTGTCTTTTGATTTTTTAAAGATTTTGGATGGGAAACTGAGAAGCCAGAACCAATTCAACTGCAGAAAACAGTAGGCACTGAGTATGTGGTTCCAATATCTTTTATAGCTTTATATTCCTGAAATCAAATTTATTTCAGGGTTATGGAAATCAATACTATATGACTGTACTGTATCTAAGGTTTTAATCTTCATTGTTCATGGTAATGACTAAACCTTTTCTCTGAAGCCCAGCAGAGCTTCCTATTCCATCTTCTTTGTTAAGGCAGCAACACACATCAAAACCTACAATGCCTCATGCAGGAAGCAACTTGAATAACCGGAGGTGGGTGACATTCTCCAGAATGAATGTTGATGCATGGTTGAGGTCATAATTTGTTAGTTCTCGGAACTGGATCCTTTTACGTCCGATCTGCCTGCATAGCTCTTCGTGTTGCTTGTAATTCTCAGGTCAACCCTTTTGCCAGAAGTGATGGGGAGAAAAATCCTCCCCCCAAAAGTGGGGGAGTAGGGGAGCTGTCGGTATAGACAGAGTGCATTTGAACAACAGTGCAAATATCGCCATCCTACCCTGAACAATTCTACCCTACTGCCTCTTTGATTCTATTTCCACGCCAAGTTGTCCACTGTGCTACCACTAGCTCCCCCAGCCCTCCCCCCATTTTAATAAAGACAGAGGATTGTAATATAGTTGGGGATTCAGCAAAGACAGAGGGAATATCCACAGAATCCCTGGAGCCCTTTTGCAAACCTGTAGTATAATGTTTATATTGAGCGTCTTTGACAGTGAGTATTTAAGGAAGCTCCTGCTGTTGGGTGGGCAGGGCAAACAGTCATCAAAACATTCTATCATTCAAGCCTATTCACTTTGTTGTGGGCTTTCTCTGAACCAACACATGTACAGAAAGCTTTCTCACATCCATATGTTTCTCAGTGACCTGCAGCAGAGCAGAAATCTGGTCCAGATATCTCCTGACAGGACCTCCCTGCACTTTCCAAATTGTGCTGGTTGTCACCTCTGGTGCATTATCAATCAGAATCCTACTGAAAACTTCCCTAGACACTTAACAAACTAATACCCTATAAATAGATCCTTTATTATGGTCAGTGGCCAGTCCATAAAACACATTGCATACATAATATGGATATTGATTGATTAATTAATTAGGTAAGCTTGTCCATCAAACTCCTGTACATAAAACTGATATTGATCAATTAATTAGGTAAGCATGAGCATCAAGCTGCTTGCATCTTACACGACAGAATTTGGCCGCACTCAAAGAAGTAGAGTCTCTTGAGTCTGAAATAAGAGTTGTAAACAAAACTGATCAGAATTCTTCTAAGTGTCAGGGCCAGAAATACAAAAATATGCACTGTAAGCCCCTGGCTGAAAGCCCGTTTGGTGTAGTGTTTTAGGCACCAGGCTAGGAACTGGAAGACTCTGAGTTCTAGTCTCACCTTGGGCACAAAGCCAGCTGGGTGACCTTGGGCCAGCCCCTCTCTCTCAGGCAAACCGCTTCTGAACAGCCTTGCCAAGAAAACTGCAGGGACTTGTCCAGGCAGTCGCCAGGAGTCAACGCTGACTTGAAGGCGCACACACACAAAAGCCCTGGCAGGTCTTCTCATGGCTCAGAAGTTAAGCAGGATTGGCCCAGGTTAATCCTTGGATGATAGGCCACCAAGAAACCCTGGGGTTATAAACCAGATTGGGAAACGGGGGGAAAAAAACTCCCAGAAAGTGGCAATGGCAAAACCCTTCCATATTATTCGATGAAAATGACATGGCTGTCCCAATGAAGTCACAAAGAGACAAGCTTGACTAAAACAGACTTTTCTTTTACCTTGATCGAGAGAAACAGGATGGCAGCTTGAGGAAAGGCTTAATGCACTTTTGCATTAAGCATGAACGCAGAGAACACTGTTATCAGCCATTTCTTTTGAAGTCCTCAACAACTGTCCAGTCTCCCACCTCCCCTTTTTAGGGAAGGTGGTAGAAAAGGTGGTCGCGCGGCAGCTTCAGAGGATCCTGGAGGAAACGGATTATCTGGACCCCTATCAGTCAGGAT